AACTTTTATTTATCACAACCTCTCAACACTAATAGAAAGAACGGATATAGTAGTGAATAATCTATAAGTAAAACAAAATAGTGATGAACTTGAAATACCTTTTGACTTTATTGGAGAAGCAGTCATTCCAAAAATTCTCGGAAGATTAGATTGACCAAGAGATAACTGTTGGTGATAGAACTCCTAAAAAGTGCATATACTTGAATTAAATATATATATATAGATATAAAGAAAAAAAAATGTGTAAACTTTAACCAACAAATGTTCTAAAAGGCTTTTGAGACTTACACCTTGAGGCTCACTCTAGTAGAGACTCAAAAGTTTTAGCCTTGATGCTTATGCCTTCCTTGAATCATAAGAGGCTTGCTTGTCTTAATTCTTATAGATAGGCTTGCACCTCTATGAGAGCACTGAGGGGGTTTGGGTATTTATGTCTCACGTAATGGTTGAAAGAATAATATAAATTTTCTGCTTCCTTAGAAAATATGGGAGTTTATGTATGTAATGCCAATGCACCATGAGTTGTGGTAAATCACGACTAATGACTATGGAGATAAAAATTTAAATGAGTTGTTAGAATCTTTACTCAAGAAGGTGATAATTGATAATGTGATTTTTTTTTTTACTTTAAGTAATCATCTTTCTTAATATCCATGAGTGCACTAACTCTGAACAATCATACATAAAAAGATTAAGTTTGTAGTTGGAGTTAGGAGATAGAATAAAAATACCATATGAAAATCTTTCCAGTAGGATGTAGTCCCAAAAATGTATTAATTCTTTACCCAGGTACCCTCAAAATTAGACAGTTTGAAAATAATATACTCAACTTACCGTCATAATACAAGCATAAGGGTGTCTGCCTCTTGCATGATGGCATTCATCTACTATTAAGACCTTTATCATGCTTAACTGAAAGAAACTATGCCTCAAGCAACTTAACAAAATTGCAGGTGTCATCACAAGCACCTATAAGTAGAAAATAAATAAGGAAAAGAAAAAAGTAGCAGTAACGAGACAAGAGCAGACAAGAATTTAGACGAAAGATGGACACCGACACGAAGCAAGCATTGTATAATATTGTCTTAGACATTTCAGTAAAAGGGAAAAAAAATATACATATATATGTCAACAACTAAAGAGTGAACAGTCATATTAAAAATAAAATAAACATATCCACATAAGAAGACTCATAACCTCATGTTTTTCTATTTCTCTCTTCCACATTGCAGCATTCCAAAAGTCTACCCCCAAGTCTCCATAATATATACCAACACTCAAGTCAGTGTGCATCTTCACAGCTTCAGCTTGCTAAAATTACATAAAGAACGGATGAAACTATCAATGATGGGAAAATGAAACTTCAAACCGGTATATTTATCATAATTTTTGCTTAAGAGTTCCCTTTAATCCTGAAATTTCCAGAAGCTCTTCCTTTTGTTGGAAAAAGAAACAGTTATGGTTGGAATTAGCGCATATATTCTTTAATTAACATCTAGAACCACTAGATCAATTTTAATAGCAATTTAGAGAATGTTTCTTCATTTTTTCACTAAATTTGAGAACCCTCATTAATCCAGTAGGAAGAAGATTTTAAATTTCACAATAAACTATATGGTCTTATATCATAAATCACAAACTATGCATCTTAAATTTTAATGTTGTGTTTTATTGTGAAAAAACAGAGATACAAAATACAAATCTAAAATCCGTTTAAAAAATTAGCAGATATGGAATTCATATTCATGGATGATTATTACATATTTGGGTTATGTTAGAAACTGAACATAGATAAGAGCTGCGTCTGCACCAATGAGGAAAAGAGGGACCAAAACACTCTTGACCCCCTTTTCTTTCATTGCAGTTTGGCAACCAAAAGCTGGAACTTTAATTGGAAAGGGTTCGATTTAATTGTAACTACTACTTCACTCTAGTTCCACAAAACTCTAATGGTTTGCTCTCTTTGGCTGAATAGAACAACATGATTTAGTGAGATAAGTACAGAGATCTTTATCAGTTTTGGGATTTTAAACAATATACAGCCACTAGTTTGAGTTTCCTTCATAAGCTCCTATGTCACGACTCAGTCAGTTTATTATGAAAATCTAAATCTGAAAGATATCTTCAGTTGACCAGTTGGAGAGATATTCCATCTCCCCTTCTCTTGGTCATGCCATTTGTACTCTTTTTGATTATTAATGAATGTTATTGTCTACGTTTCCTACATTAAGAAATATGTGCATACTTGAGAGACCAAAACAACTTGTGGAACCAAGAAAACGGCAATGGAAGATGAAGGTTTGCGTAGCTGATGAGCAAAGCTCCGGAGAAGCATGATGGCGATCAGAGTCTTGCCAGAGCCAGTCTCCAAAAACGCTATCGTGTTCTGTTTAAGTGCTTTTTCCAATCCTTCCAGCTGATAACTGCAAAAATCACCCATAATGATAAAAAAGTAAGTGTAACAATAGTAAACTCAACAAATCAAAATTCAAAACGAAGAACCCTGCAAAATCTGTTCAAAGTGGAGGCCAACAAGTAAAAAC